AAATCTTGACATGTTTCAGTCATCCAATATATGTTTAAAACTGATAGTTATATAGAAGTCAAAAATTAGACCCACAGAACAAGTGCATCTCCTACTGACTAACCTTTGTAAAGCATATAATAGAAGAGAAAACAAGAGATGTGAAGCATTTGTATCCTTTATCATATTGCAAATAGCTGAACAATAACTACATGTTCAGTATCGGAGCTATTTAGCTACCACAAGTTCAGTTGTAAGATACTTATGGCTATATATCCTATTAGGACTGACCTTATAATCTTATATATGCTGTGGATCGATGATTTTGGATTGTGTTATTTAAAGATTATTTAAATAACTTTGGTAACTTGGTGGACTTTGCATATGGATTCATCAACTGTACGCTTTTGGTTCAGTTTAGCACTTCTCTTAATCATCCTGTTTCAAATCTTGCCATGTTTCAGTCGTCCACATACTCTGCAATGCATCATCATGCTCTAGTGGCCATCGTCTTCCAATTCTTGGTAATAGTGGTCCCGCGTTAATGTAGTAATTAAAACCTGCCCGCGCCTCATATTTTACTTTGCTATTGTAGTTGGTTGCATCCTAATTAGCAAACCGGAATTGAACCTACAACACTAATTGCACCCTGTCTCTCATGCTTCTGAATTTCTGATATTGCTCAACCTTGCTACTACGAATCCTTAAAGAAGAGGAGAGATACAGAGAGCATGCCTTGTTTGGTCTGAAGCAGCATTTCTGTTGCTTCTCCTCTCTGAAGCTCATGTATGTTGTTGCTGAAAATTCAGTATGATCTCTAACAATTCTGCTTCGGGAATCAGGATAATTGCGTATTAATTTTCAGAATGTTGTCAGCCCACCATGTATGATGTTCCCCTCAATGTGCTAGGTCTGTCGGCTGTAGATTCTAGATTTGTGGGAAAAGGGATATCAGTGACATACACATGATGGAGAATGCCATGTTATTTTCTCTAGCTCATTCGGTACTATTATGTACCAGCAAAAGCTAATCTAGCATGCAAGTTTCTGAAGAATGTATTTTTTAAATCTTAATTATAGGTGATCAGCACATATATATGTTGTATAAAGGACCAAATACAAGTCCAGAATGATAGCAAAGTATATTTTGAGAGTCCTTTTGTTACCTCGCTATTAAGACGGGATGGTAACCTTGGAATACAAGAAGATAGTAAGTTTATGACAGATTTTGTCAAAATATATATGAAGCATGACATGGTAATATCCATATCCATAATTTTCATGATCTAGGTTTCATACATTTTTATTTTTTATTTTCCTAATTATCTTTATTACAGATTGAACTTCCAATAAATACGAGCAACACACATTGGTATTTAGCTGTTGAGAATACAAAAAAGCGTGAGATTAAAGTACTGGACTAATCGTGCTCGAAGTTTGACCGAGATGATCTCTTTATTACGGTTAGTTACTACACCAATTTTAATCCTACATGTAAATGACATAAATTCATACTTCGTTAATGGGTACTCCCTCCGTCCGGAAATACTTGTCATCAAAATGGATAAAAGGGGGTGTATCTAGAACTAAAATACATCTAGATACATCCTCTTTTATTCATCTTGATGACAAGTATTCCCGGACGGAGGGAGTATCATTTCTGATCACTAATTGTTTTTTAGTTACGAGGACTACAATTTCAGGGGATGCTCACTTCAGGACTTGTGGCAGTATATCCATGAGTTGAGATGGCACCGTTTTGATATCAACACTTGGCTGCAAGAGAATTTTTGTGATGACTTGCTTCATAGTAAAATAAAAAAGAAACTTCATATCCGTTAATAAGACCGATCGATATTCGTAGTACTAGAACTCTGCACTTCATTGTAATTGCATTGTAAGCTTTACCATGTTATACCCTGAATTTACGAAAATATAGGTTCATCATCAAATTATGGCACCACAATAAAATAAAACACCATAAATATATAATAGTGTGCTTTGCCCTCAAAAATGCCTTAGCTAACATGATAATTTTCAATCAGGTGAAGACAAAAAAGTGCACCTGGACCTATATGTTAATCCTTTCTTTAAGTGGTGAAGCACAGAAGAAAATAATACTTTAGTTTTCTAGATAATAAACATCAGGCAAACCAACCAAATCGATCAAAGGCATGAGGATCACTTGCAAGTTGAGTCTTTGATTGACAGAATTAACCTCTGTTATGCAATTATCTGCATGGAACAACATAAACTGGGAAATTACAGCAGGGAAGCAAGCTAGAAAAGGTGAATTTGCAAACCTGTAGCTGGGGAAAGGCGCTCAACAAGTCTGGAAAGACTTGATTACGCAGTGCATCAGGTAGAACTGTGCAAGATCGCCCTTACAATTAACTACCTGCCAAAATATTTCAGCTTCAGTTTTCAGTCCATCATAGATAGAAAAATGTGTGGAATGAGTGCTCACTAACACATGTCAGGCAAAAAATCCTAATGACACTACCATGCCAACCCAATATTATTAATGGAGTGGAGGCAGTGACCTTGGGCGGAAGCAAGGCGAGGCAGAGGGCAGGCAGGCGCGGGGGAGAATGGAGAGGCCAGCGGCGGCTGTCGGGAGGCTCTCCAGAACGGAAGCAAGATGGCGGCGCTCATGTGTGAAGCGGCGGGCGGCGCACACGCGAGGTCATCCAACATGAGGCGCTCTGCAGAGATCTAGGAGGAGATGAGGTCGGCGGGAGAAGAGCGAGCGGCGTCGTGGTGTTCTCGCCGCTAAGCGATGGCAGGAGGACGGCTAGCTGAGGCAAAGGAGAGCGAGTCGGCGGTGTGCAGGAGGCTCTCAGCCGGATTGGGGAGACAGTGCGAGGCGAGAGTGAGAAGAAGTTTGCCGCCGTTGTTCTCCAGCGAGGAGGAGACACCAATGGAAGAGGCTGGCATTTTTGTTTATTTTTTTGCGGCAAGAGGCTAGCGTTGGGGGTTTTCTTTTTTCATCTAAACACACTGTTTTATTACTCTAAAACGTTCATAGGGATACAATTCAAGTCTGGAGGGTTTATAAGCCACAAATGGCGCCCTAAGTCCAGATCAAAGGTGTGCTTAGTAAGGCTATGCGCCTCAAGATTAGTACCGCGACCTTCGAAGATGAAGGTGCATTGCTAAAATTGCTCGGACGTATTTCTTATTTCCTTCATTATGCTTTCATACATACTTCCCGTGCCTAGCTTGATGTCGTTCACCACAACTTTGCAATCTGAGCCAACCAGTATATTTGGCAGCCCAAGATCCAGGGCTAGAGCAAGCGCCTCGCGACAAGCTAACGCCTCGAGAGTCCCCGGGTCCGTGATACCCGAGACTTTGATGGCTGATGAAACCAAATATTTGCCATCATGGTCCCTGCATATTGCACTATAGGTTCCTTCCTTCGCAGATCTTGAAACAGCACCATCGACTCGAATTTTTGCTATACCTTCAGGGGGATGGACCCATCTTGATATGGCGTTGTTGCTGGATGTATTGGCCACTTGCTGCATCTTCTTTGGTCTACACTCTTCAAGCTCACGGATGTACTTCATAATAAAATGATGAGTAACCAGCGGACTTTGAAAAATATGTTCATGTAGGGCTTGTCGCCGAGAATACCAGATGGAGGTGTACCCGCTACTTATTATTTTATTATAAGTTGGCTTAAAGAAAGATGGGCCGGGGCTGGCTCTTGAGTGTGTTTCTCTCTTTTTAATCTTTTTTTGCTATTTTATTGTTACTCAAACAAAAACATATTTTATCTTTTAGCAAATAGAAATTTTTTGGCAGGAATTTAATAGAGGTGAAAATATTTTGAAGTTTTTACAAACTTTCATGAAAACTGAGTAGGAATCGTTACATATTAATATTCACATCATCTCAAGTCGTTACTAAATCTTATTATTCTCATCTCTTTTTTTTAGAAATATTCTCATCTTTTTCTGAGAGTGTGCGTGTTGTGTATACTAAGTCCTTATATTTTACTCCAAGCCTAAACAGTGCAAAAAAGTTACAAATGAAACTGTTAGTCATAGAAAAATGAATTCATTATAAAAAAATCAAATAATATTTCCAAAAATTACAAAAAATATTAGTGTTACTTTGGACAATCAAAAAACAATTGCACGACCATTCTATGCACACTACTATTTTGTCATCGGATGAAAGTACGGAGCTGAAACACATCCTGGCGAACGATGTTAGGAAAGCTTTTACTGGATAATCAAGGATACATGTTTACCGACTTTGTCAAAATTGAATATAAGAAGTGTTGTGAAATGATATAAGGACCGAGTTCTACTAATTTAATCGCCCGGTGCAACGCACGGGCATTTGTATTAATATATATTTATGTAGCTCGAAAATACGTCAACGTGACTAGGGAGGGAACCTTGTGATACACCGATACTCCCGCCGTCTTTACTAGCCGTTCACGTACAAATATCTTTACTCAGGGCATGTACAATGGTTGATAAGATAGTCTTATCTTAAGTCTTGCATGTAATCTAGAGATGACAAAAAACAGAGTCTACAATGGGTCATCTCTTAGCCTTATCTTCAATAACTAGCAATTCCTAAAAACATGTTGAGACATATTGTGCTAAGAGATCATCTCTTGTCTTCTCTTAAATAAGATAAGACAAGCCTTTTCTTATAAGTTCTCTCTCCTCCACCTCATTATTTATCCTACGTGGCACTCCTAAGATAGAACCATTGTACATGCCCTCAGAAAATATCTTAGCCTGAACAGGACCAAGGGTAGAAAAGTAAATCTTGCTCCTCTGCCTCACATCCGAGCTCAAGTATCCGGCTCGAAAATATCTCATGTCTTACTAGGAGCGAGGGCACAATCGTATATCCAATCAATCCACCTCACGCCCGAATCCGAGTAAGCAGCACACCGACCACGGACCCACACGGGCACCCGAAAATATCTCCTTCCCTTTCCACTCCTCATCACCTCCGCTTTTGCGCTTTTCCAAGGGCTCAGCGACTCCGAGATGGACACCGGCGAGCCGACGGGTACAGCGGCAGCGGCGGCGGGAGGAGAGAAGCGGGCGATGCTGCTGAGGCAGATCACCGAGGAGGGAGGCTTCGCCTTCGTGGCCTCCGCGGAGAAGGCGGCCGCGGGGGACCTGCGCGCGGCGGAGGCGGCGCGGGAGATGGCCTGGGAGCAGCTGCACTCGGGGCCGTGGAGCGAGGTGGAGCCTGCGTGGCGGCACGCCTACGCGCTCGCTTGTCTCCACGTCGCGAGTCTCCGCGCCGGTGACGACCGCCGCGCGGCGCTCCGAGCGCTCGACATGGGCCTCATCATGGGTGGCGACCTCCTCCGCGCAGAGCTCGAAGCAGCCATCGCGCAGGTCCCTGCCAATGGAAATCGCGAGGGCGAAGGCGACGGTGCGGGAGACGCCGGCAGAAACGTGGAGAGGTGGAGGGAAGGGCTCAGTAGGAATCGAGACCTCGGCGATGTGAGTACTTCTATTCTGTTGGCCTGCCAATTGCGAGTTTTCTTTTTTAAGATTGATGCATGAAAATGCAGAGCTAGAATTACTAGCAGTATGCTGGTATTGCCGGTAATTAGTTCGGCCGAGTGGTTCACTCTAGACAATTTTCTGGATCACTGGCTGGAAAGCTTCAAGTGCCCATATCTCCTGTGCGCGTTGCAGCCAGTGTTACTTTTTGCATCCTAGGTTGCAGCCAGAATGTTTAGGCAATTTATTTTGCTAATTTCTATTGGCAAGTTTTTGGGATTCCCAAATGTTCGTATGCCGAAATATTGGCTAGCCAATTTTTGGCTACCAGCCAAGCATGCTTTAGCTTTATATAATTCAGTTTATCTCATAAATTCATAAATTACTGAATCTGTTCTTTTGAATAGGTTAGTTTTTTTTCGTCAATAGGCATTGTTGTGTATCATTGCATTGATAGGGGAGGAGAGTAGCAAATGAATACAAAGGAGAGAGGGGGGAAGCAACTCAACGGGGCGTACGCAAGTTGGCGTCCCAAAAGAGTGCAAGATGAGCATGATGGAGGATGCTCAGCCTCAACATCTCAAAATCAGGATACAGGAATAACATTTAGCAGCCCTTTGGCTCCCGCGCGAGCCCAAAGCGTGGCTTCATCCTTGATGGCGCGCACAAGGTCTGTGTTAGACGGCCGTAGGCCATCGAAGACAGCGGCGTTGCGGTGCTTCCAGGCAGCCCAGGCAACAAGCGTGATGAGGGAGTTGAGTCCCTTCCATAAGCTAGCTGGGCAAGCGTTGGTTGCCGCCGACCACCATGGGAAGAAGCTTGCGGTGTCGCTGAATAGGTTAGTCATTTAGGCAGGCGGGATGTGGCAGATGGATTGGTTCAGTGGGATGATATACGAAATGTAGAGAAGTACCACAGATTCTAGCACCTAGCAGCTACTTAGCAACCATAGTGACGTAATGACTTGACTTGTCCGATTAAGTTTAATGACCTGCTAGATAATTTCAGGTCGAGACACCTAGCAGGCATGACACTAGGACTTAATTTTGGTAGTCCCCCGGGCTCAGATCTTCCAGGTTCCCCTATGTTAGTGAGGTCAGAATCCCCCCACACTTCAAGTCTCTGTGTGCCGGTGGTTATGGCCATCGAAGGGCGTGATAGGACTACCCCAGCCCCCAAGCCAGGAAGCATCTTTGAACCATCAAAGTACATGATCCAATGCTTATAATCAATTCCTTGGTGAGGTTGCTGGTCCTCCGTCCACTCCACAACAAAATCGGCAAGACCTGTGCTTTGATAGCTCAGCGAGTCTGGAATTTGATCTCGAAGGACATCAATTCCAGGGCCCATTTGGCAATTTGGCCAGTCGCATCTTTGTTGTTGATTATATCAGGGGGACTTGGCTTGCTACCGTAATGGGGGGCAGGCCTGAAAATAGTGCCGCAGTTTCCGGAACACCATGAAGACGGTCTACGCGATCTATTGATAATGTGGGTATCTGGTCTTGCACGGCGAAAGCACCTCAGAAACATAGTAGACCGACCTTTGGACTTTGTATGTGTGGCCCTCCTCCCTGCGTTCGACCACCAGGACTGCACTAACCACATTTGTGCATCGTACGCCGACGTGCTTATCCAGGCATTTGTGCATCGTATGCTGGTACGTGGCGCATGCGTTCTTCAACCTAAAAGGCATGGTGATGTAGCAGAACGGCGTGTACAGCGTGATGATTTTTTTTTTAGAAAAGGGGGACATCCCCGGCCTCTGCATCAGAGTGATGCATACAGCCACCTTTATTAGCAAGCAAATAGGTTCAACAATAGTCTTAAAGTCTCAAACAAAAGCTGCTCACAAAGAGCTAAGGAACAAAAATAAAAGCCACAACCGGCTGGCAAAAGAGAGATAGGAAAACTAATTGCCTATCCTATTACATGACCGCCATCCAAACCGGCTGAAAATATCCCGTGCTACCATCTCCCATCGGATAGATCCAGTAACCAAACGCTCCCTGGCCTCCGTCGGAGTGAGTAACGACCATACAGCATGATGAAATAGGTGGCCTCGTGATTGGCCACCTTCATTCGGATCCGGTGGGACCCGGAGTACGCGTCCAGAAACGAGAACAACTCGTGCCCCATGGTGGCGTCGATAATCTGATCGATGCAGGAGAGTGGATATGGTTCTTTCGGGAAAACCTTACTGATGTCTTTATAATTGACACAAAGGTGCCATGTGTCGTTCTTTTTCGGCACCATGACCGGGTTTGCTAACCAGGTCGGGTGCTTTACTTCTCGGATGAATCCGACCTCCAAGAGCTACGCAATCTCCTCGCCCATGGCCCTGCGCTTTCGTTACAAGAACTGCCACAACATCTGTTGGCTGTGCTTTGCGATATTCACTGGGATGCCTGGCATATCGGATAGCTGCCAGGCGAAGATCTCCCACTTCTCACAGAGGAAGTCACAGAATGTGCTTTCCTATTTCGTGTCCAAGGTGGTCCCGATATGAGCTTTCTTGGAGGAATTTGTAGGGTGGACCTGGACGCTTTGGGTGTCTTGGCCGCCTGGAACGAGGAGCTCGGCTTCTTCTTCTTGGTCATGATGATATCGTCTTTGTCGACTGCCTCGCGCATGTTGGCAAACTCTTCCGCTGTGGTCACCTCTCCAGCCAGTGCCACTGTAGCCTTGTTGGCCTCGTAGGATTTTTGGTAGTTGCCGGATGCTGTGATGACCGCCTTGGGGCCCGGCATCTTCATCTTCAGATATGCATAGTGTGGCACCACGGCAAACTTGGCAAAAGTCGGTCTACCGAGGAGCGCATGATAGCCGCTTTTGCATGGAACGACTTCAAAGCAAAGGCTCTCAAGGCAGTAGTCGTCCGACGTGCCGAACACCATGTCCAGGGTGATCTGACCAAGAGGCTGGGCCTCCATGCCTAGGATGATTCCCATGAATCTTGTGTCGGTCGGCCTGACGAGGGGACTTCGGAATTTCCATCTTCTTTAGCATCTGGACGTACAAAAGGTTGAGGTTGGTGCCGTCCTCCATGAGGACTCTGGTGAGGTGGCAGCCTTCAACTATCGGGTCGAGGACCAAGGTGGCCTTCCCAGGATGGGGAATCCTGCACGGGTGATCGCTCTGGTCGAAGGAGATGGGTTGATTCCACCAGTCCAGGAAATTGTGGCACTGCGGGATCCGTAGCATAGACCTCTCTATCCACGAGCTTTTGTGCCCTCTTGGACTTGCCCGTGCGGAAGATCATGTTCACCGTCTTGATGTTTGCACCGGCCCTGCCGTTGCCACTGCTTGAGCCACCACCCCGGCCATCTTTGGACGGGTCATGCCTATTGTCCTCGGCGTCATCTTTGTTCTTGTTGGCTTCCCGCATTGCTCTCTATTGCCAGTGGCATTGCCTGTTTGTGTAGTTGGCCCTAGGGAGACCGGGATCTTCTAGTGAGTGGTAATCACATGCATCCTCTAGTGAGTGGTAATCACATGCCTGCCCATGATCTCGTCAAAGTCAGGACCGCCTTGCTTCTTTTTGTCTGAGCACTGGTGCTACTTCTGGCTGGGAGCGCACTGGCGCTGGCCTCCGAACTCGGTGTTGACCTTGTCATCTCCGTGCTCGTCATTCCAACGCTTCTGGTTATGGTTGTCGTTATTGCGCCGAGGACGACCATACTTGTCTTTTGCCCTGGAGGCTCCTGGATTGCTGAGCTGTGTCGGGGCCATCATGGTCTTTTGCTTGGCCACCCAGGCCTCCTAATCGGAAGCGTAGGCAATAGCTATGTTCATGAGATCCATCATGTTTCATTGAGTTGCCTTGCCCAAGTCACGCATCAACAACTCGTCTTGACATCCATTTTTTAATGTTGTAATGGCCTCAACACCGGTGATTTCGACAATCTCGTTCTTCTTTTTGAGCCAACGAGTTGGATGACATTGGTAAGGTCATGTTGGCTGGCTGGCCTTTGGTAGGTGCCCATGAAGTTTGCCATGAACTCATGATGTATGTCATTCCAGTAGAAGATTGACATGGCAGCAAAGTGTTTAATCAAGCACGGACCGAGCCTTTCAGCATGATCGGCATGTAGTTGATAGCGTGAAAAGAATCCCCGTTAACCAGCTGCACAACTATTATGTAGTCAGCCAACCAAAGCTTTGAGTTTTATTCTTCGTCGTACTTGTCGACGAGGCATAGATGGAAATTGTCCGAGAACTTATAGTCGACTATATCGTCAGCAAAGCATGCCGGATACAGGGTTGGTATGTCGGTATCTGTTTGCAGGGCGGTGACGATGTGACGTACGTCGTCTCTGCCGGTGGCGCGGTCTTGTTCATTGAACGACCAGCCTAGACGTCCGACATCCTCGTGCAACCGCGCCAGCCTCTGATCTGACCAGCGCGGGGAAGCGCGCGGCTGCTTGACCGAGATGCCAAGCTTGCCGTTGAGCGGATGTCACCCGTGGTTGCGGTTGTGCTTTTGGATCTGACATAGACGTTTTGCTGGACGACCACCGTCTTCAGGAGTGCCAGCCCCTCCACGGACTGCGCCCGATCTGAGCAGGAAAAGTGATGTTCCCGAATACCCCGGCTGCTGCGTGCATGTTATTCGCGGGCGTGCGAAAGCCGGTGGGGGAGGTGACGCCTGACCATTGATATGGCTGTTGACTTCCCTGCCAGATTGCGGTAGCGCGGCTGCATCATCGACTGGGAGGCAGCGGTCGGGGCAAGCGTTGAGCAGTTCTATGGACTGCAGCTGATCGGCCTGCCTTCATAGCAAGCAATTCGTCTCCTTATTGGTTTTCTTGAGTGCTTTAGGATCTTCTGTCGTGTTTCTTCCATCTTCAAGCTGGTGGGATCCATGCCTGTGGTCGGGATGTTCAACTTTTCTTCGTCCAACTCCTCGGATTTGGTCTTGATGGCAGTGTCTTCGACGACTTTCTGAGAGGCCCCCCACCATGTAGCACTCGTACGTTGACGTCGCTCGCCACGGGTGGAATGGTGCCGATACCGGGATTGCCTCCGGGCAACTCTCG